AAATATTAATTACATAATATTAATAATAGAGTTCATATTTCCCTGTGAAGAGGAGACTTTTTTTAATCCAGGATCAATTCCAAGTTTATGCACTAGCCTTGGTTATTTAAAAACATTTTACTGACTGCAAATATTCCATTTTAAGGAATTACTAATCAGTAACCTAGACCAGGCTTATAGGTTGTTTTTAGTAACAGTAAATTTTGAGATGTTTTTACAAGGATCTCCCACATTTCAAATTCTTACAGTTAAAATTACTGGGATTACTGTGTGTTTTTTATTTTATTTTTAAATCTAATTACTTTATTTAAAAAATGTTTATTTTTATACAAGAGCTGGGTACAGGCCAGAGGCGCGAAGGGTGATAAGATTCACCAAAGGAGCAGAACAGGCAAACAACGAAAAACACTGCTGAGGGGAACAGTGGGAGCGACAGGAGAGGTCTGCTGCGCCATGTGGGTCACCTCTCTCAAATTTGCTGAAGATGCGATTGTATGTGGGGAGTAACCATAAAATCAAAGGAAATATCCAATTTGTCTGGAAATACATGATGTCTTTTCTTTGTATAGTGTTCTGGGAATGTCAGTGCAACCTGTTCCTTCTGCTCGGGAAGAGAAGGAAGAAGAGATAGAAGAAAGAGAGGAAAAGGAAGAAGATATTCCAGATGATACCACACATTCCCTTGGTGCTGAAGGTAGTCTTATGCCTTTTTCAGTATAGTAGATTGTGTTAACAGTCTCTTCACTAGGAGCATGCAGATACTTAAATGTTTCCTTTTTATTAGATCATAGACTTCTTATGATGAATTGAGAGTAGTCATTAAAATTTGCTAGTGGTCTTAAGCTATTATACCTAATTTGGTGTTCAGGAACCTGTAGCTAATTGGATAGTCCCTTTTCTACATATTGACTTACATTCCTTTCATGTTCATTTGTGTTTAAAATATTTTGGGCATATATATTTTGTGGTTGGAAGAAGTCTGAATTGCTGCTGTTTATATCTTCAGAAAGTAGACATAGTTCATTAATATTCGATGCTTGTAAGATTTTAATAGTATGAAAGTGTTTTCCTTCATTACACTTTTTTTTTTTAAAGATTTATTTATTTATGCATACAAGAGCTGGGGTACAGGCCAGAGGTGCATGGGGTGAGAGGATTCACCAGAGATAGAGTGGGGAACAGAAAGGCAGATGACTGAAATACACTGCTGGGGGGAGCAGCGGGCGAGTCAGGAGAGGTCTGCTGTGCCATGTGGGTGCTCCCTGGCTGGGGGTTGAACTGGTGCTGCAGCGGCTGCGGAAAGCCTCCCAAGTTGTGTCTTAACCCCTTGCACCACCAGGGAGGCCCCATTACACTTTTTTTTTTTTTAAATTTATTTATTCATACAAGAACTGGGATACAGCCAGAGGTGCGGGGGTGGGGGGAGACGGACAGTGAGAGGATTCACTAGAGACAGAGTGGGGAGCAGAAAAGGCAGATCTACTGAAATACACTGCTGAGGGGAGCAGCAGGTGAGACAGGAGATGTCTGCTGTGCCATGTGGGTCAGCTCCCTGGCCAGGGATAGCTTGATAGTGCTGAGACTTTAACCTCTGTGCCACCAGGGAGGCCCTCAGTTCTCTTATTCTTGATTGTATTTTGAAAAATTTTGAGGGGCAGGAAATATTTTGAAGTGAAGGACTGAACATGACCCTTTTTTGCTAAGGACAGTTGCTTGTACAGTGTATAATGTGGGATAACACATCTAATTTCTTGAGAGTTTGTTCCTAGATCCTGCCTCATCACAGTTGGGCTTTGGAGTTCTGGAGCTTTCCCAGAGCCAGGATATTGAAGAACATGCTGTGCCATATGAAGTGAACAAAGAGCGTCTACAGTCAGTAACCACAAACTCTGGTTATACCAGACTATCTGATGTGGATGCTAATATTGGTATGAAACATGTTTTGTGGCATTTGGGGTTGTTTAAAAGCATTTTTCTCCCATATTAGAGCTAGTTATTTTTCAATTTATTTTATAACTATGTAAGTTAATATAACGTTAGCTGATATAGAAAGGTTGCACAGCTATCTGGTAAATAGCCAGTTGATGGCTTGCAAGTTGAACTTTTTTAAGTGGTTATATTCCTTTCTGGAGTGATGCCTGTATAAATTTTCAAATTGGACTTCTTTGTATATTAAAGTTCTTTTTTTTTAAAGATTTATTTATTTATGCATACGAAAACTGGGGTATAGGCCAGAGAGGAGGGTGGGTGAGAGGATTCACCAGAGACAGAGTGGGGAACAGAACAGCCGGATTGACTGAAGTACACTGCTGAGGGGAGCAGCGGGAGAGTCAGGAGAGGCCTGCTGCGCCATGTTGGTTGCTCCTTGGCTGGCCAGGGATCAAACTCGTGCGGCAGTGGCTGCGGATAGCTTCAGGTTGTGTCTTAACCCCTTGCACCACCAGGGAGGCCCTGTATTAAAGTTATTTCTATTTAAATACCTCTTTCCTGTTTCTTTTAAAATTTCAAGCAATTAAACACGAACAGTCCAATGAAGCTATCCCAGTGGCAGAACCACCCAACAAAGATGTCCCTGTGGCAGCACAACCCAGTAAGGATGTAAATACAGTAGAGGAGAAAAGCCCCCTGCCTGCACGGTAAGCCAGATTCTTTCTGGAAAGTATTTATGAATTTCTGCCTATAAGGTTATACCAATTTCACTTTGCCAGGTGGAAATGTTTTTAGAAATTATTGATTTTTTTTTTTTCCCCCTTATACTGGGCATATTTCTGGTCTAATAGAAACACTATTTGTGAATACTCATTGTGTCCTCATCTTTTTTTTTTTTTTTTTTTTTTTTTTTTTTTGTCCCAACAAATGCTTTTACCTATTTTTGTGTAGACGATCTAGGGTATAGGCCAGTGGTCTGTCAGGGGGGCGGAGAGAGGATTCACTAGAGACAGAGTGGGGAGCACAGCAAGTGGATTTATTGAAATACACTGCTGAGGGAAGCGGTGGGTGAAATGGGAGATGTCCGCTGTGCCATATGTGGGCTAGCTCCCTGGCTAGAGATCAGACTCAGGCCATTGCAGTGATACCTCTGAGACTTAATCCCTGTGCCACCGGGGAGGCCCTGTGTCCTCATCTGTAGGATTATTAGGAAGCCATTTTATTGCTGCTGTAATAAGCATGACTCCTTACTGTTTGGTTGCCACACCTGTCTGATCTTAGTCTGCAGAGTTTCTTTCTGTGGGAGGTCTTCCTAGCTCCTCTAATATTCAGAAGAGACATGTAAATACTAAATTTTTTTTTTTTTTTTTTTTTTTGTGGGACCCTCGCTGGCAGCCAGGGAACGAACCAGCGCTGCAGAGGCTGCGGGCAGCCTCGCAGCCCAGTGCTCAACCGCTGCGCCACCAGGGGAGGCCGTATATTTTTATTCTTTAAAGATTTATTTATGCATATAAGAACTCGGGTACAGGCCAGAGGTGTGGGAGGGTGAGAGGATTCACCAGAGACAAAGTGGGGAACGGAACAGGAGGATTGACTGAAATACTCTGCTGTGAGTGTTATAGGACAGGGAGAGGGGCAGCCCAAACCCCGGAAACCTGCCTATTCTAAATGGGTTCTGCCATCTGCCGCATCAACACAAAACATAGGAGACTTTAATGGGAAGGAACTTTAATAAAACTAGGAAACAATACAGGTAAGTCAAAGAGTCTAGTTTCTAAATGAAGCACCCAAAGTTACCCGTCCCCTCATGGGTAAAAGTCCATCCATATGGGATCGGCCCAGAGCAAGGCCCCAAAGCCTGCCACAAGTCTAAAGCATCTTCCAGTGGGGACCCACAGAAAAGGATCAGAAACTACCAGACAAACACGGAAGGAAAAGAGCAAAATCAACATCAAGATAAAAGCTGCCATGGTCACCTCTCCACGGGTCTCACCCACATCTGTGTCACCCAGTCCACGACCAAAAGACAAGCTCAGTTTCTTCACGTGTCTCTAGGCTCCATGCACCTCCCTCCTCCAGGTCTCCTGGCTCCATCCTGCTTCCTTCCTCAGTCTCTTCTGCAGCTTCTCCTCTTCCTGCTCAGCTCCACCCTCCCTTGGGTGGGGCAGGGAACCTCCCCCTTTCCTGGGGACCACCCTGTTGCAATCCCCCCTTTTAATTTTTATTCCACCATATCTATGGTGGCACAGATCTCAGGGTGTAGTCTTAGGAGACAGTCTTTTTTTAGGGTTACAATGTGTGTAAGAGAAGCAACAATTAGTCAGCAGCATTGTCTATGAATGTCCAGTATGACAGTTTTCCATTCTGAAAAATAGTCCATTATACCAGCCAAAAGAAAAAAAAAATTGGAGCGTTAGCTAAAACAAGACAGAAAATATATCAAAATCACAGGGAAAAAATGTTAAAATGGTTCAACTTATGCAAAAACGAATTCTCTCAACCTTGATCCCAAACTTTAACAGCATAGCAAAAGTTTGCAAATTAAATCTACTTTTAAACCATTTTTCCTATTTTTGCATAAAATCACAGGGCAGAAATAACTAATAGCAATTTTTAGCTGGCTTTGTTGAAATACTCCATATAGGATCAGAGTGAACCATTGGCATCCAGTAGATGTAGGCTTTAGGTACAAAGTTGGTCTCATCAGACTCCACCTGGGCTTTCCTCTTCTCGAGGGTACCAAGGCATTTTCGTTGGCCGGGTTGTCCAGTCCTGCCAATGGAGGCAAGCTTCCTCACCTTCTTTGGAGGTCTCTGGAACCCTACAAACAAGGCAAACAGGTTCTCCTCTTCTTGGTTCAGCTCTTTTTCAACTTTCTGGAAGAACTCCACACAAAGCCACACAATCAAACTCGCGTCCAATTTTTTTGTTAAAACAGATAAAATCCCTATGGAAGTTATGCAAAAACAGACTCTAAGATAAGTAGCAAAAATTACTACCTCTATTTGTATGCTGTGTTGGTTTTAAGGGGAGAGAAAATGTGACGAGTTAGCTTTGCTGGAAAAAAAATTGCAACCTTGCTGCAGATTCTGGTTACTCAAAACAAAACAAAACAAAAAAAACTTTGTGGATTCAGGACAAAATGCATGAAAAAATTACAAAGAAAACTTGTAAATGTCAGGTGTATTTCCAGGTCTATTCAGTCCTTTGTAGGAAAGTTTTTACTCTAAAAAGTTCCATCAATAGGAATCTGTTGAGACCTTTTCTCCCTATATTTTCAGAAACAATTCCTGTAGATATTAAACAATTGAAGTATACAATATTACAAGGTGACAATCTACATACATACCAGATACTGAGAGGTTTTTTGTATACACATTTTAGAAAACTACTGTTAACATTTTTGTACATACCAAAGTTTTACCATTTTCCCAAGTGACAATGCTTCCCTTCCAGTTTTACTTCATTAGGTAAAAGCCAAATAGAACAAATTCATCTAATGCCTTCCCAGGAGGAAAGGGAGAAACTTTGTGGAGTGTCTCAGGAGCTCTACTGAGGTTCCACAAAATTTCCTTGCATCAGTCAAATGACAGGCTACCAAATTTGTACTTGAATTTAGATTTCTGGGAAGCTTTGCTATAAATATTAGAAAATTAGCAGAAACAACAATATTCAATCTCTATGAAGGCACCGGCTTAATTCAGTAGCACAATGTTGACAATCAAACCATAACTTTTTTATTTTTATCATAACTGGAGACTTTTTTTTTTCAACGTCTATGGGCACCATGTATACCAATTTGTCGATCACTGGAGGTCAAGACAGACACAAGGACATACAGACATACAACGTATAGACAAAGACAGTTTTTTTTTTAGTTATGCCACGTAGAATATGTTATGTAACTGCAGTTTTACTCCATAGGCTCAGAAAAAAAATATCAAAGTCCAAAAAAAATGTGGAGTGTTGCTGGCAGAAAAATTTCCAGTTGTCATCCTGCAAACCTAAGACTTTGGAAATAGGAAGGAAAAGTTTTATTAATCACAAGAGTTCCATGACCTTGTTTATCACCTTAGGGTTTTCAGTGTTGAAGACTTTTTATTAGAAGTCAATCCTGGGGTATTCTGTACAGCAACTGAAAGAATAAAAGTAACAGTTAACTTTTAAGCAAAAGGAGTCATCTCTTGTTAGCCACCAAGCAGGCACTCCTTGGGTTTCCTGGAATAGAACCCGAAAAAGCAAAATCAAAATATCAGTAATTAACTTTCAATTAAAAGGAGTCATCTCCTTCTGTTAGCCACTCTGGGACAGAAGCTGAAAGAGCAGATTAAACATCTAAGCACAAATTACACCTCCCCCACACTAGGGAGGGACAACAACAACACAGGTATGAAAACCTGGTATAGTTACATGATGCACCCTAAAGAGTGCTTTCCATAACAGACCTTCCTCAGTAGGAAGCAGAAACTTAGAATCTTGTCTTACACCAGCAATTGAACAAATCCAGGATTCAAAATGGCAAACATGCCCAAAACAAATTGTGTAGACAAAATTCACAGCAGCAAATCCTTTCAGACTCAGACAAAATCTTGTTAATTTTTCTGATCCAGACTTTGCAAAAATTCAAGTTATCTCCAAGAATCCATCAAGGATACCAGCAATTACCAGTTACTGCTTAAGGCTACTCTTTCCTTAACACCCAGGCATACATTTGCTAATTTAAACACCACTGCTTCACAATTGGCTGGCAAAATGCATCAGGCAAAGAGCAGGAAGTAGCCAAAGACAAAGCTACATACCACTGAAGAAACATTATTGCCTTTAGAAATGCTAATGAGACAGCAGAGATTACAAAAAGAAAGAAAAAAAAGTTCCAAAGTCCTAGCAACAAGAACCTCTGAATTTTACAAGAGCACGCCAAGTGGCCTCAGACACCATCTTTGATCTGGCCACATGGTCCAATGTACTGCCTAATCTTTTGAGTAAAACTGGCACAGAAAAAATTTCCACAAATTAAAATCTCTTAGCAAGTCACTACAAACAAATTACACACAAACACACAGAATCTTCACAAAGCCCAAGCCAGTTTTTCAACAGCAAATCGACATATGAAACAAACACACTAGAGAAACCAAAAATCACATTTGCGCTTATGGTAGCCAGTGCCATAGGGAAGCCCAATTTCCCCATGGGGCTGACTAACCACGGATGGCTCTGTCCTAAATCATGTTGGACGCCAAATCTGTTATAGGACAGGGAGAGGGGCAGCCCAAACCCCGCAAACCTGCCTATTCTAAATGGGTTCGGCCATCCGCCGCATCAACACAAAACACATGAGAGTAATGGGAAGGATCTTTAATAAAACTAGGAAACAATACAGGAAAGGCAAAGAGTCTAGTTTCTAAATGAAGCACCCAAAGTTACCCGTCCCCTCGTGGGTAAAAGTCCATCCATATGGGATCGGCCCAGAACAAGGCCCCAAAGCCTGCTACAAGTCTAAAGCATCTTCCAGTGGGGACCCACAGAAAAGGGTCACAAACAACCGGACAAGCCCGGAAGGAAAAGAGCAAAATCAACATCAAGATAAAAGCTGCCATTGTCACCTCCCCACAGGTCTCACCCACATCTGTGTCACCCAGTCCACGACCAAAAGACAAGCGTAGTTTCTTTACTTGTCTCTGGGCTCCACGCGCCTCCTCCAGGTCTCCTGGCTCCATCCTGCTTCCTTCCTCAGTCTCTTCTGCAGCTTCTCCTCTTCCTGCTCAGCTCCACCCTCCCTTGGGTGGGGCAGGGAACCTCCCCCTTTCCTGGGGACCACCCTGTTGCATGAGGAGCAGCAGATGAGGCAGGAGAGGTCTGCACCATGTAGGTAGCTCCCTGCCTGGGGATCGACCTCATGCTGCAGTGGCTGTGGGTAGCTATCTTCACAGTTCTGTGATTGTGAAGTTCCAACCCCTTGCGCCATCAGGGAGACCCAATAGTATATTTAAAATTCCACTGTTTCTGTACTTGGGCACACAGATTGTTCTGGGTCCTTAGGTATCCTGAATCTGGTATTTTATGCAGGGATGCAGTCTTTTTCCAAGTTCATTAGGTTCCAAACCTGGTAGAAATTGCGCAGATACCTCTACTTGGCCTGTGGTGATTGTTTATGCAAAACAGGATCACTTGTGGTCAACACCTCAAATTTAGTTGTGGCAGAGGAAATGTGGAATTCTTCCAATTTGGGGAGGGGGAATGAATAAACATTCAGTATTGTTTTTGTTGTACTTATTTCAGTAGAAACTGGGGAGTGAGCAGAGTTGACTATCAAGAGAAGTCTCTAGTGAAAAACAGGCTGACTTTTTAGGCTTTTCTTTCAGAAATTGCATCCTAGCTAATTTTGCTCTTTTATTTACTCTGGGGAGGGGTAGAGTAGAGCACCTAAGTATCTGGAAAGGGGCCACCGAAGGATGTGTTCACATGACTAGTATTGGTGCCTTGATTTGGGCCCTAGGGTGGATAGATGAAATGGAAAAGGCGAGCAGAAGCTAATGTGTGGTATTAGCGCAGAGGATAACTGACATTGTGGTCTGGGTCAGAATCCTTCATGCACATTTAGATAATATATATGTAACAGAAATCCTTAAACACTCATCGGAAATGCAGCACAGCAGGAAGCAGAGTTGAAAAAGAGAGATTACTATGTGAGAGACTGAAAACAGGCTTTGAAATGGGCCCTGGGCTTTGTATTATTATTTAGAGTAGGTTATTTCATTTTCAGTAGTAATGTAGATTAGAGCTACTGGCATTTTTGAAATTATTAAAGAAAAATATAAAACAGGTAAAGCTCTTTAGTTTAAAGCTGAAAGCATTTGAACTTAGCAGTTTTATTCTCCTGGTGATATGAATTTCTTAGATCAGAGGACCTGCCTTCTAGTCCCAAAGTATCTCTTGCTGCTGTGGAAACAAAAGAACAAATACCTGCTCGAGAACTTGTGGAAAGTGGAATGGAGATTCAGAAGTCACCAGAGCCTGAGGTTTTATCAACTCAGGAAGATTTGTTTGACGAGAGCAATAAAACAGGTACAAAGAGCAGTTAATTGCTACAGCCCCTCTCCTCCAAAGATCTAAAATTTTATTTCTAGATTATGGTTTAAGTTAGAAGGCACTTTATAGGTGTGTAGACTTGATGGTGATTTAGAAGAAAAATATATTTCTAGCTGATTAGAGAGAAGGGCCTCGTAGGAATGATTACTTCTTAACATTTTAACATCATTTTTTCTCTTTTGGAAATGGAGAATTGTGGAATATTAGCTAATGACAGAATAAATTTAACACTACAGATAGTAGCTATTTCTATCATAAGTCTTCAGATATTAGATACAGTAATTCAGTGTTTTTCATAATCACTTGGGTAGCATTTACTTTCTCATCAGTTGATTCATCTACCACAAATAGGAAGTTATGGCCTAGCAGAAAGTACATAAAATTTAGACTAGAAAGTTGCTTGTTTTCATTTTGTTAGCCGCCATCAGTCCCCCCCTCAGAACCCAAAAGCTTCAGTAATAATCTGTAATACAATGTGTTGATTGTAAGGAGGGGAAAAAAGGTTATATTCCTTTTATTGTGCTGTGAATATAGGTTGCAGTGCAGTACATTGAGATAGTCACCAAGAAACCTTTTTCGGTCTCTCAGTAAAGCTATAGGTCATTTGAGGAATTCTTTTATGTTTAGGATTAAAACAGCTGCTACTCTATCTATTGCTAAGGAGATGGGACCAACAGGAGACTTTTTATAGTATAAATCAGTAATGGCTGCTTACTAAAGCATTAGCATTTTCTGTCTCCTTTTGAGAGGGTCCAAGTTCTAATCTTGAAAATTGCTGCATTCGTATTATCAGGTGTCATGCGCATTGTTTTGACTTCTCCCATCTGCATCATGGCATGAGCTTTACTTCACCTTAGGTAGACCTTGGAATAAAAGGCTCGCTTGCTGTTTTATAATAGAAGCTTCACAAGAAAGAAGAGCAGCCAAGCAGAGGTATAAGGATTCTGACTTTTCCTCTACAAGCTTTGATCATGACAGAAAGGACTAAGGAATTCTTTTTGTCAATTCTTTATTAAAACTGTAATTTAGTAGGGAGGGGGGTGTTTAATGTTAGTGTGGCATTCCATTAATTGTCATGTAGTTAGAAAAACAGTTTCTGCTCTCTTGAACGTGGTTGGAAACGTGATTATTAGTCTTTTCACAGTATTGAGGTTTTTTGTTTTTTGGTTTTTTTTTTTGGCAACTCAGTAATGTCAGTCCAAGAAGTAAATGGATCTAGAATATCTTTCTTTTTTTCAATAGCTTCTGACGGTTATTCTACTCCTTTGAGGGAAGAAGGTGTGTGTTCTCTGGCTTCTACACCGGCTACCACTCTGCACCTCCTGCAGCTCTCTGGTCAGCGGTCGCTTGTTCAAGAGAGTCTTTCCACGTGAGTAACCTTAAGGTAGTTTGTGCCAAGGAAACATGTTCCTAAGGGTTTTAAACTGAGATTGAAAGAGGTAAATTACCTGTTAGTCCAGAATTCTTTTTGAAATCAAGAGGCTGACTGTAGGTGTCAGAATTTAGGGGATGAGAACTTAGAGGAACTGTTGAAGGCAGGTAGAGCTGCTTCTACATTTGAAAGTTTTATTTATTTATTTTTTATTTTATTTTATTTTTTTTTTGGGGGGCGTAATTCACTTTATTTCCTGGTATAAACTCTACTATGTGGTGGCCACAGCTGGCGCCTGGGTTCTCTGCACAGAGACTCTTGTGTGGGTCTTCACCAGGTGGTCAGTGAATTCCTGGTAAGGAGACTTGGTGAACACGGTCTCTTTCCAGAGGTCGGGAGTGAGATAGCTGTAGGTCTTGGAGATGGCATCAAAGGTGGCCTTGGCAAAATTGCCCAGGGTGGCGGTGCAGCCCCTGGCCGAGGTGTAGCAGTCATCGATACCGGCCATCATCAACAGCTTCTTGGGCACAGGCGCAGATACGATGCCAGTGCCCCTGGGGGCGGGGATGAGGCGCACCAGCACAGAGCCACAGCGGCCAGTCACCTTGCAAGGGACGGTGTGGGGCTTGCCGATCTTGTTCCCCCAGTAGCCTCGCCGCACAGGGGCGATGGAGAGCTTAGCCAGGATGATGGCACCGCGGATAGTGGTGGCTACCTCCTTGGAGCATTTAACGCCCAAACCAACATGTCCGTTGTAGTCCCCAATGGCCACAAACGCCTTGAATCTGGTGCGCTGCCCGGCGCGGGTCTGCTTCTGCAAGGGCATGATCTTCAAAACCTCGTCCTTGAAGGACGGCCCCAGGAAGAAGTCAATGATCTCGGATTCCTTGATGGGCAGGGAGAAGAGGTAGATCTCCTCCAGCGACTTGATCTTCATGTCCTTGACCAGGCGGCCCAGCTTGGTGACGGGGATCCACTCCTTGTCCTCGGCCTTGCCTCCGCGAGCCCCGCGGCCGCGGCCCCGCCCCCGGCCGCGACCCCAGGGCCCACTGCCGAAGCCTCCGCAGAAGCCACCGCGGCCTCCCATTCCAGGGCCCCCCGGGCCTCCGGGCCCTCCCGCAGCACCAGCGTCGTCCGCCATTTGGTGTGTTCGCGGAGAAGAAGCTACATTTGAAAGTTTTAGAATAGTAACCCGAAGTTTTCACTTGGGAAGAAATTATCCAGTTTCATAGACTGAAACACCCCAGAACAACCATTCTGCTCCTCTATTTTATTAGCAGTTCTCTCCAATTTATAGCATGAGGTGGAGAAGAGGTTATATTAGAGTTGAATCTTGGGTTTCTTCCCTCCTCCACATCCAAGTTGGGTTTCTTTATCTGTGGTAGGGCAAAGAAGTTTGCTTTTTGAAAAGTTTTAATAAAAAATGCATCATCTTGGGCCTCCCTGGTGGTGCAGGGGTTAAAGTCCGAGTGCTATCAAGCTACTGCCTGCCACTGTGGCATGAGTTCGATCCCTGGCCAGAGAGCTGACTCACATGGTGCAGCAGACCTCTCCTGTCTTGCCCGCTGCGCCCCTCAGCAGTGTATTTCAGTAGATCTGCTTGTTCTGCACCCCACTCTGTCTCTGGTGAATCCTTTCACCGCCTGCAGCTCCGGCCTTCACCCCGTTCTTGTATGCATCAATAAACAGAAATAAATCTTAAAAAAAATGCATCATCTTTACATATTAGGTAAAAAAAAAATGGAATAGATTTTTTGTTTCAAGCCTGCAAATGAATCATCTCTGGCCATTTACTTTCTCATAATCATATGGCTTTATCCTTTTTTTTTTAAAAAAAAAAGCAACTCTTAATTTGGATCTGCCTGGTGTGAGAAGTAATAATTGAATTAGTCATGATTCTTCTGCCAGCCTTATGTAGTTGAAAAAAATGCTAATAAGTTTTTGTCTAAATTACTTAGATATTTTCTCTATTAAAAAGTAAAAACAAATACAGAAATGCAAAACTGTGGCTATAGAAAATAACATGTAATTCTCTCATGTCAAGGAATTCCTCAGATCTTGTCGCTCCTTCCCCGGATGGTTTGCGATCTACCCCTTTTATTGTTCCTAGCAGTCCCACAGAAGAAGGAAGAAAAGGTGAGCTCTTTTGATCTATCTTAGAACTCAGATTAGAAGTGGTGCAACATTTCTTTTGTCTTTCCAAATGTACTGTTGATATGTTGGAACATTGTGACCTAAACTGTTCAATGGGACCCATGTCTAACAGAGTTGTGGCCTAATGTAAAATGCTCTTAGTTCTTTGCTGTTCTAGCACTGAGTATTCTGAGAAGTCTGTATTATTGGCTTCATTTTTTAAAAGACCTAGAGATAAATTATGTTTTTAAAAGTTGAACTCAGTGAATTTGTATAGTAAAAAACTGGGTTTATTGCTAATGTCCTAGTAGTTTCCAGCAATATGTTAGCATGTTGCTTGTGAGTGGGAACTAAAAATTGTTATTTGCTCTTTATAGGTTCTTTTACTTTGTTAAAACAGAATAGGAGCCAGAGAGGCTAGGAACAGCTGGTAGAAATTTTGATTTCTTCCTCTTTTGATGACCTAGTAATAGTGGTTTTAATAGTTGTTCACAAGAAAACGTTCATCTTTACTTACCTAAAAAAAAAGATAATTTATCTCATTAGCTTTTGCTCTGTTCTCTCTCCTATCCAGTCATTCAAGATATTTCTAAATTCCTACTACTTCTACAAGCCTTTTTCAACAAATCCTGTGATTTTTCTCCTCTTCATTCTTGCAAATACCAATAATGGTACAATAACTACTATTTATTGAATACTTAGTATGTGCCAGGAACTGTGTCAATACGTGATTTTTGTCTCCTGTTTTCCACTTGGAATCATATATTTAAGTACCTTTTCATCAATGGTACATGTAGGCTGCTACAAATACTGTCTATTATATTTTAGATTTAATGTATTTTCTTACTATGTGCATAACTGCTTGCTGGAGTATGTATGTTTTTTGCATTTATTTTTGCTTTTTCTCTAACATCATTAAGTTAAAACCTCATTACATGTGCACTTCTTTTTCATTGAGTCCTCAAAACAATCCTTAAGATGTAGGTATATACTTTCATCTACACTTTACAGATGAAGAAATGAAGGCACATGGAAGTTTCACAACTTTAAGTCAAAGACAGGTTTTTAACTCAGGCCTTCAGAGCCTGTGTTCTTTTTTTTTTTTTTTAAAAAAGATTTATTTATTTATACATACAAGAAGTGGCGTACAGGCCAGAGATGGGGGGGTGGTGAGAGGGTTTACCAGAGACTGAGGAACAGAAAAGGCAGATCGACTAAAATACGCTGCTGAGGGGAGCAGTGGGTGAGTCAGGAGAGGTCTGTTGCGCCATGTGGGTATCTTCCTGGCCGGGGATTGAACTCATGCTGCAGAGACTGCAGACAGCTTCTTAGGTTGTGTCTTAACCCCTTGTGCCACCAGGGAGGCCCAGAGTCTGTGTTCTTTCTTGTCATGTATATGCCTCCTCTGATATCCTAGTGCCTTTGAGTGATGTATATGATATAGATTAAACTGCTTTTCAGGTGTATTAAATCCGTAACAAAAATTTAGGCTTAGAATTTCTTCTGCTACAAAGTTTGTTTCTGCCTGTTTTCTCTTGAATCAGCAGTATGGACTAATGTAATTTTAAACATAGCATGCTTAGTGATACCTTTATTAAATAACAAAGTATAAAAGTGAATCCACTATAAAAAAATCTGTTAACGCAAATTGTGTGGTTTGTACTTACAACTTTTTCTTTTATCTGTAATATGGACATTGAAGAGTCAATTACATTAAAAATGCTTTCTCCCTGATTGTAAAAATAATTAATACTCATTGAGGAAAGTTAGGAAAGTAACGAGAAGAAAATAAAAATCACCCATGATACCACAATCCAGATACAATTTTAATTAGTGTTTGGATATGTTTCCTTTCAGAATGTTTTCTATGCATAAATATAAAGATCCCAACTGTGTAAAGATACATGTAATGTATATGATGTACTGTTTTGTTTTTTATTTCTTCATGTAACATATTCCCTTAATTGTATTTTTTAATGTATTTTAGCAAGCTTATAGGAACAGCATAGAAGACAGACATTAAAAACATATTTGCGGACCTCCCCGGTGGCGCAGCGGTTGAGCGCTGGGTTGCGAAGCTGCCTGCAACCTCTGCAGCCGGTTCAATCCCCGGCTGCTCCCCGGCCACCGGAGGAGGGTCCCGCATGGCGCGCAGACCTCTCCTGCCGCCCGCTGCTCCCCTCAGCAGTGTCCTTCGGTCCTTCTGCCTGCTCTGCTCCCCGCTCTGGCTCTGGTGAATTCTCTCACCCTCCCGCGCTTCTGACTGTACCCAGTGCATGTATAAACCAAACAAACAAATAATAAATAAATAAATAAGACATGCCTCTAGAAAATTAAAAAAAAAAAAAAAAAAACAGGAACACGGCTGGTTCATTTAAAAAAAAAACATATTTGCATGTTTTCATAGCATGCACTATACTTTCAGAAAATTACAGTGAATGTAATTTTTATCATATTATTGTATGATAAAAATGCTTCAAATATCATTTAGTTGAGTAGAAAATTTACTTGTTTTTTAAAAAATCCAAACACTGGCAACGGGTTTATATATAAGTTGAACTGCTGGGGCCTCCTTGTGGTGCAGGGGGTTAAGCGTCAGCCCTATCCTCAGCTACTGCAGCATGAGTTTGATCCCTGGCCAGGAGGTGACCCACATGACGCAGCAGATCTCTCCTGTCTCGCCCGCTACTCCCCTTAGCAGTGTATTTCAGTCAATCTGCGTGTTCTGCTCTCCACTCTGTCTCTGGTGGCTCTTCTCACCCCCCCCCCACCTCTGGCTTGCACCCCAGAGATTTAAAAAAAAAACAAAAAGATGAACTGCTAAAACTTGTTCATTGAAACATTTTGACTTGAATTAATGCTTCATAGCCCCACATTTCCATTTAAAATTCATATACTAATGAAAATGGGAAAGTGTCAATACGTGATTTTTGTCTTCTATTTTCCTCTTGGAATCATATACTTAAGTACCTTTTCCCCAGAGGTACACATCGGCTGTTGCAAATACTGTCTATTGTATTTTAGATTTAATATATTTGCTTACTATGTGCATAACTGTTTGCTGGAGTATATATGCTTTTTGCATTTATTTTTGCTTTTTCTCTAACATCATTAAGTTAAAACCTTTTAACATGTACTACATATAACAGAGTTGTTAATAAATGCTTTGTCACGGAAAGAAAGATCAAAAGATAACAATGAAAATAAACACAGATGTGGTAGTGTAATAAAGGTCTGCAGCACCAGATCCTGAACTTAGAACTAGACTAGAATGTGACATTGAGGCCAAGCTAAGTAGCAAGGATGAGAGTTGTGAGTTATAGGGAAAAACTCAATAGCATAGGGAGTTTGTGAGAGTGGTCTAGAGGAAGTCTCTGTGAGATCAGTTTGTTAGATTGGGGGAAAAAGGGTAGATAAGCACATAGCTTACTAGCTAGGCTAGCTCTGAGAAAGATCTTAATAGCCTGTAGGTGGGTAGTGTACTATGGAAAGTAGTGTTTTATTTTTTTTTTTAAAGATTTATTTATGCATACAAGAACTGGGGTACAGGCCAGAGGTGTGGGGGTGAGAGGATTCACCAGAGACAGAGCGGGGAACAGAACAGGCAGACTGACTGAAATACACTGCTGAGGGGAGCAGTGGGCGAGACAAGAGAGGTCTGCTGCGCCATGTGGGTATCTCCCTGGCGGGGACTTGAACTCGTGCTGCGGTGGCTGCCGATAGCTTCATAGGTTGCGTCTTAACCCCTTGTGCCACCAGGGAGGCCCAGTGTTTTATGTTTTGTGTTCCCTCCTGAACAGTTTCTTAGGAGTAGTGTCTTATACTTAGTTCTTTGATAAATAAGTGTTAATGGCATCGATGGATTTCTTTTCCTTTATTTGTTCTGGCTGTCATTCCATTACTCTGCACTTAGCAGTTGTTAATGCAAATGTAATCATTTTATAAATTTGTAAATATTTTCTTGTTCATTGCCATTTAAGATCTCTGGTATAGTATGATGATGGTTAAATTAGGTGCCTTTAATCTGGTTATTCCTGAGCAAAATGTGAAAATCTAAACTATCACCAGGAAATGGGCTCAGAGGTTCCCAGTTAATTTAACATTTCATATCTTGGGTGGGTAGTCTCAGATGAGCCCTGTTTTAATCTATATCTAAATATTTGAGGAATGTGGACCTCCCTCCACTCAGTGGAAGAAACTGTTACTAGGTTTCCAGAATTTAGTCTACTATTTTAATCCATCAGCTTTTCTGGAAATTAAGCCACTGTTATGCTTTTTAGGTTCTGTAATATAATTTTTTTTTAGTAATAAGGGAACATTAGTAGTATTGAGAAGTGCTTATTTCTCAATTTATTTTCCCCTGTTTTAAACCAGATGAGCCAATGGATATGTCAGTGTTATCTGAAGGAAGGGGAGAGTCTTTTCAGAAGAAACTCCAACCAATAGAGGTAGAAAATCCTCCTCTTCCCTCTGAGCCCACTATATCACCACAAGCCTCAACACCAGTATCTCAGAGCACACCAGTCTTCACTCCTGGGTCACTTTCTGTCCCATCCCAGCCTGAATTTTCTCATGTGAGTATTGTAGAGTTTTTTTCTTCTAACAGTTTTTTTTTTTGAAACAACTTTATTGAGGTACAATTGATAAACCATGAAATTTACCCATTTGAAGTTTACCGTTAGTGACATTTTTAGTAAATTTGCAAGTGTTATCACAGTTCAGTTTTTCCCTACTCATTATGAGTTTTATTTTTACTTTTTCAGTTCAGTATAAAAATCTCTTTTGTAGTGGTAAACTACATATAATATTAAATATACCTTCTTAACTGTGTAGTAGTGTTAAGTATATTCACATTTTTGTACAGTGTCTAGAGCTACTTACTTCTCATATAACTCAAATTGTATACATAATATAATTCCTCATTCCCTCCTTTCCCTAGGCCCTGGAGTTCTTTCTGTCCTGACACAATTGAGTTTTAGAACATTTTCAGAGTCACCAAAACCTTAATCTACTTGGTATGCGTGACATCTTTAAAGTTTTTATAAATGTTACTACAAAATTGAAATCAGCATTAATCATTAGTCTACCTTAGCACAACCTCTACTGTTGTTTTTGTCTTTTCACATACCTACTTGTAAAATTTTTTTCTCATTTTTTTTCTATTTGTGCTAAATACAGTTTCAGTCATAACAGTTGAAAACAGTGGTTTTCTTTTTGGTGACTTTTTTTTATTGGTTTATACACTGTATATGCTTTAAGGAAATAGGTGCACACCTCTTCAGATGTGTTACCCTACCACACTTGCCACCAAAGCAACCATAATTCCCCACTGTAGGCCTTTGGGCCCTCTCCCCACTTTATTCCTCACCTCTAGCCCCTTCCCTCTAGTACTGTAAATTCTGCAGTCATATATTTAGGATTTTTGATTTGGTTTTGTCTGTTCCTTTGTTTTTGTTTGTTTACATTCCACATGAGTGAAGTTGTCTGGTATTTGTCTTTCTCCTTCTGACTTATTTCAGTTAGCATTATCCCCTTAATTCCATCTGTGTCACAAATGGCAAGATATCATCTCTTTATGCTGAGTAGTATTCCATTGTGAATTCCAGTGTACCATAGCTTCTTTATCCTCTTATCTGTTCTTAGGCACTTAGGTTATTTTCATTACTTGGCTGTTACAAATAGTGCTGCAGTGAACACAGGAATGTGTATATCCTTTTGTTTTATTTTTAAAAATTTATTTATACAAGCACTGGGTACAGTCAGAAGCGCGGGAGGGTGAGAGAATTCACCAGAGCCAGAGCGGGGAGCAGAACAGACAGACGGACGAAATACACTGCTGAGGAGAGTAGCGGGCGCGGCAGGAGAGGTCTGTTGTGCCATGTGGGATCCTTCTTGGTGGCCAGGGATCGAACCCGGCTCTGTAGAGGCTGCGGGCAGCTTCGCAGCCTGGCACTCAACCACTCACCACCAGGGGAGGCCCTGTGTATATCCTTTTGAATTAGTGCTTTTGCTTTCTTTGCACCTCAGAAATACCAAGGAATGGAATTGCTGGATCATAGGATACATCTATTTTTAATATTTTGAGGAACCCCCATATGGTTTTCCATAGGGACTAGACCAGCCTGCAGTCCCACCAGCAGTGTATGACGGTTCCTTTTTCTCTACCCTCTCACCAATATTTGTTGTTTCTAGCTTTCTTGTATGTGCCATTCTCGTGGGAGTGAAGTGGTATCTCATTGTGGTTTTGATTTGCATTTCTACCTAATTTTTTAAAAAAGTGGAGTTGTTTGTGGTGAACATACAACTTGAATTTTCTTTTTCCAGTTAACATCATCTCAGAATGTTTTTTATTTATGTTTTAAAGATTTATTTATACAAGCACTGGGTACAGTCAGAAGTGCGGGAGGGTGAGAGAATTCACCAGAGCGGGGAACAGAACAGGCAGACTGACGAAGTACACTGCTGAGGGGAGCAGTGGGCGCAGCTGGGGATCGAACCCGTGCTGCAGAGGTTTCGGGCAGCTTCACGCCCAGCACTCAACCACTGCGCCACCAGGGGAGGCCCTCAGGATGCTTTTTAAATGTTGCATAGTCTTCATATATTTTCAAAAGTTGTGTGATATTTTTGAGTGGACATTAATAATTTAATCAATCCTGTTCTGAATGCATCAAGATGGTTTTTGTTGTTTATTTTTATTTTTTTAAAAGATTTATTTATTTATGCATGCAAGAACTGGGGTACGGGCCAGACGTGTGGCGGGTGAGAGGATTCACCAGAGACAGTGGGGAGCAGAACAGGCAGATTTACTGAAATACACTGCTTATGGGAGCAGCGGGCAAGAAAGGAGAAGTCTGTGCCATATGGGAATCTCCCTGGCCGGCCCGGGATCAAACTCGTGGTACAGAGGCTGAGGGTAGCTTCATAGTGCTATGCTTAACCCCTTGCGCCACCAGGGAGACCCGGTTTTTATTTTTTAAATAACAAGTTAATTTTCTTCTAAAAGCAAGGAAAAAAAAATCTCTTGTACAATTAAAAAACTTTTTTTTGAAAACTGAAATGCAGATTTCATTCATAGTGAATTGAACGTCCTCAACTAAACCTGAATGACTATATGTTCAGTCTAACAAGAGTAGTCTTTCTGTTCTTGTAAGGCCTTACTGATAAAATTGTTTTAATGTTTTTTTTAAAGATTTTTTTATTTATGCATATAAGAACTGGGGTGTGGGCTTCCCCGGTGGCGCAGTGGTTGAGCGCTGGGTTGCAAAGCTGCCCGCAGCCTCTGCAGCGCCAGTTCGATCCCCTGCTGCTGGGTGAGGGTCCCATATGGCGCACAGACCTCTCCTGCTGCCCGCTGCTCCCCTGAGCAGTGTACTTTGTCACTCTGCCTGTTCTACTCCCCGCTCTGGCTCTGGTGAATTCTCTCACCCTCCTGCACCTCTGACTGTACCCAGTGCTTAGATAGATAGATAGATAGATAGATAGATAGATAGATAGATAGATAGATAGATAGATAGGATAGATAGAACTGGGGTGTAAGTCAGAGGTGTGGGTGGGTGGGTAAAGAGGAGTCACCAGAAAGAGTGGGGAGCAGAATAGGCAGATCTACTGAAATACACTGCTGAGGGGAGCAGTGGGTGAGGCAGGAGAGGTCTGCTGCACCATGTGGGTTAGCTCCCTGACTGGAGATCGAACTCGTGCTGCAGTGGTTGGCAATAGCTTGATGGAACTGTCTTTAATCCCTGTGCCACCAGGGAGGCCCTGTTTTAATGTTTTTGGGAGAGCTTCTTTCATGTCTTTCAGTTTGCAGGTTTTGTAGCAAAAGTTTATATTTAAAATGATTGGTAGGGGCTTCCCCGGTGGCGCAGCGGTTGAGCGCTGAGTTGCGAAGCTGCCAGCAGCCTCTGTAGCTCCGGTTCGATCCCTGTCCACCGGGTGAGGGTCTCACATGGCATGCAGACCTCTCCTGCCGCCCGATGCTCCCCTTCAGCAGTGTACTTCGTCACTCTGCCTGCTCTGCTCTCCGCTCTGACTCTGGTGAATTCTCTCACCCTCCTGTGCTTCTGACTGTACCCAGTGCTTGCATAAATAAATAAATAAATAAATCTTTAAAAAAAAAAAAAAAAAAGGTAAAAGTTCCTCTTTAAAAAAAAAATAATAAAATGAATGGTAATGAAATATACCATAAATTTAGTGGGGAGGAGTTAGTGAGAATAAACATATGTAATTGCTATCTGGAGTTATAGAAGTTGTATTTTGTTGAAAAATTGTTTAATTCAAATCACTAGAACAGTTTGATAGTCATTAAGAATAAGGACTCTAGGGCCTCCCCGGTGGCGCAGCGGTTGAGCGCTGGGTTGCGAAGATGCCCGCGGCCTCTGCGGCGCCTGTTCGATCCCCGGCTGCTCCCCGGCCACCGGAGAAGAGTCCCGCATGGCGCGCAGACCTCTCCTGCCGCCCGCTGCTCCCCTCAGCAGTGTACTTCGGTCCTTCTGCCTGCTCTGCTCCCCGCTCTGGCTCTGGTGAATTCTCTTACCCTCCCGCGCTTCTGACTGTACCCAGTGCATGTATAAACAAGCAAGCAAACAAACAAACAAATAAATAAATAATACATGCCTCTTAAAAAAAAAAAAAATAAGGACTCTAGAGTCAGCTTGTTGGACTTATTCCTGGCCCTGCCATTACTACTTTTATTACCATTTTAAACATGGAGATATTGATACTATCTACCTCATAGGTAGTTGTGAAGGTTAGTTGGGTTATAGCTATCTAAAGAGCCTAGAATAGTGCCTTGCACATGGTAAGCACTGCATCAGGATTAGCTATTGTAGGCAGTGAAGGGAAGATTTCTAGAAATGAAGTGAATATTCAACCACCATATATCTTTTTCTTTAGTTTTTATGTTTCTATCAAAGTTACACATGAGTATACATAGTTTAGGAATGAGCAGTGACCCATAGTACTGAGAAGAATTTTTCAGGAAAAACAGCTGATACTAAGTGATATTAAAGAGACCAAGCAAGACTTTTTTTTTTTAAAGATTTATTTTTTATTATTTTAAAAAATATTTACTTATACAAGCACTGGGTACAATCAGAAGCGCGGAAGGGTGAGAGAATTCACCAGAGCGGGGAACAGAACAGGCAGACCAACAAAGTACACTGCTGAGGGGAGCAGCAGGCGTGGTAGGAGAGGTCTGTCGCACCATGTGGGACCCTCGCCAGCGGCCCGGGATAGAACCGGTGCTGCGGAGGCTGTGGGCAGCTTGGCAGCTCAGCGCTCAACGTGCTGCGCCGCCAGGGGAGGCCATATTTATTTATACAAGAACCGGGGTACAGGCCAGATGCGTGGGAGGGTGAGAGGATTCATCAGAGACAGAGCGGGGAAGAGAACAGGCAGACCTACAAAATACACTGCTGAGCGGAGCAGCGGGTGCGACAGGAGAGGTCTGCTGTGCCATGTGGGACCCTTGCAGGCCGTGATCGAACCGGTGCTGCAGAGGCTGCAGACAGCTTCACAGTGTGGCATTCAACCGCCTGTGCCACCAGGGGAGGCCCAAACAAGACTTTTATGGAAA